CACCGCTCCGCACGCACCTGCGCCAGGCCACACGCCGCGCTCGCTCTGTTGGTTTTTGCTGCTATGGAAACGGCGCCGCCGCGCAGCGCATGCGCCGAGCAGACCGAACCTGCACAGCTTGACGTCAGGCGTCCCGCACGGGGCGGTTGCGGACCCTCTGGTGTCGTCTCTGGGGCCTGAGGTGCGGGGTGGCCCTTTCCCCCTTCCCCCTTTCCTTCTTTCCCTTTTTTCTCCTTCCTCCGTCCACCATCCCGCTTTCCCCTGCTCACACCGGGTGTGAGACTGCTCCGGGGCAGCGCATCCAGTGCCGTCACGTGATAAACTTGGAGCGCGCGGGAGGGATGCCGGACGTTGCTCTCCAATCGGCACCATTCGAATGCACTGTAAAAAAACGTTCTTTTTTCAAAAACTCTAGCTCCCACCATCGCTAACGCTGCAGAGCTTCCCGTGCCAGCAGCGTGCTCTGGCAGACACCGAGTCCCATAGCGTCCTTGGTGACAAAACTGACCAAATGCAGACCAGTTAAGTGCAGACTGAAAACGTGCTGAGCTCTAGAACCACAGGTCTGTCATCAGTGACGTGAAGTCCAGCTGGAAGTCAGTGGAGTAGGGTACCCCAGGGATCAATCTTTTCGTTAATCAGCTGCATGGTGGGCTGCAGTGCAGCCCCAGTGAGTTTTGATTCGTAGAACTCGTTAAGAACTCGCCAACAAAGTTTAAGTTGACAAGCAGGTATTCTTTATTGCAGCGCTGGGAGACACAGGGGATATCTCCTCCTAATGTGTGTCTCGTTTAAGCATCAAACAGACTGTGATTATATTGTTGCTTAACATACATATTCATTAAATTTCCCATAGATGTCATACATATGCATTAGTTGTCCGAGAGTTGTTTTACATAATTCCACGCCTATTTTCGCATGCGCATAACAACGAGGTAGTGGTCTTTGGTGGTCGTTTTACTTCTTCCAACAATCTTCATCACTTGCCCGTTCCTTGAACCCTTGTTCTGGAAGTCTTTGAAGCATGCACAGTAGATAAATGCTTACACCAGCTTAATTAGTTTGGTAACATCACTGACATGAGCGAGTGATTTCTCCTCGTCCTTCTACTTATCAGTTAACTTCACTACAGCACCTCCTGAACATCTGCTGGTTTCAGACACTCCTTAGCTACAGTCCTGTTTTGGTTACAATAAATTTTGTCCAAAGGTCATAAGGTTCTAAAACTGTCAGCTACAATGATTTATCTTATACAAGGATCCTTTTATGCTCTTTTAGTTGGGCTTTTTAGGTTTGGAAAGTGAGGAGCGAGCCCAATGCAAGTGGCACCGTTGCGGAGCTCTCCATGTGCTAAAGAGGCACAGGTGCAGGTTTTCG